TGGAACAGGCTGCCCAGAGAGGTGGGGGAGTCCCCATCCCTGGAGGGGTTCAAAAAACAGGCAGAGGTGGCACTTTGGGACATGGTTTAGTGGGCATGGAGGTGTTGGGTTGATGGTTGGACTGATGATCTTAGACGTCCCTTCCAACCTTAATGATTCCTAGTTTTTACTTTCATTAAAAAATAATCCAGCCACCAAGCCAGGAAACATGAAATTAATTATGACTCTCCCCTTAATTGGTTTAGTGGTGGACTTAGTAGTGTTAGGTTAATGGTTGGACTGGATGAACTTAAAGGTCTTTTCCAACCTAAATGATTCTATGGTTCTACGATCTAGAACAGCAGACTCCTGCACCGACACCGGCTCCTGCCCAAGGATCTAATGCAGGTATCACAGGTCCTCCCCTCATGGTGGGGGGCTTTGAAGAAAGCCGTAAGCATCTTGTTTCATGTGACAGTGACACCAATCCCCCAAGCCAGTTTTCTGCTGTAACCACAGAGTCAGAAGAAACATCAACTCAAGGTCCCTGTTCTTGATAACAAAGGATCTGTAAAGCAGTGGTGCTTCCAAAAGAAAACCCTCCTGACTGAACTTCTGAAGAACATCCCAGGAGCAGAGTGATATCTTTTTAATCACTCCTCTAAATAAAGACACCAGAGAGCTGAAGACCCACCCAAGAAGCAGCCATGGCATGAAGGTCACTTTCTCCTTCTGGAAAGATTTAGTGTTGTCCAGCAATAAGGAGCAAAGACTAAATTAAATATAACTGAGTATAACCAAAGGCAACAAGAAAAAAAAAACAAACAAAAGGCCAAAATTTACAGTCATCCTCTTCTAGCTGCAGGTGTGTCCCCTGAGATTTCTTGCTCCCTATCTCTTGTCACTGCTCCCATTTATCTGCTAGCTGCGCTACCCGAGTTTTGTGCCAAAACAAGCCAACCAGCTAGCTGCTCTGTGCTGCTAACGTTATTTTACCCGAAGAAGCAGCTGAAGGTACAGCTACACCTAGAAATGCATGTTCCTACACCAGGATCACTGAAAAACTACTTGACCAAAGGCACCGGGATGGCAGAACCTCCTGAGGTAGGCAGACCACTGACCATGCAAGAAACAGGGACCAGGAAACATCCCATGGCAAAAGCAGCATTACAGAGTGGAGGCAAAGTTCCCAGGAAATGGTGTAAAATGCTATCAGAAAACACAGGAACTAAATCTTAGCAATGAGGACATGTGAAAAGGAAGAAGAGGAAGCAACGAACTGCATACAAAGGAAAAAAAACCAAGGAAGTCCTACAATTACCCATCTGAGGAAGGGAAAACCGTTAAAATACAGCACTCAAAGAAAAACACTCAGATACAGTGAAAGACATCAGCCCCAGATAGGACAGCAGTCATAAAACTGGGCTGTATCTTATCACACAGAAATTGAAAAGTGAGTTTTCACGTGAGATGTGGAGCGCTGCCTTAGCACCAGCGTGCGAAAGACCGGGACGACAGGCAAGACTCCCCTGTGGAGGGAACAATCAGAGAAAAGAGAAAAAATATCAAAGTGAAACAATTCTCCAGGCAAAGGAGAAAAAGACGCTTTTTCACAGGCATAAATGTCAGTTTTAGAAAAGCCCAATCTCAGCCTATGACTCTGTTAGAACAAAGAAATGGAATGATAAAGGAGGGAGATTTTACTAGAGGGAAAGTCAAAGAAACTCGCTAATGACCACCACAAACTATAGGAGTGTCAGAAACGAGCATTTACCTTCCGGCAGGGGCACGTCAAACACCAAAGAGCTGCACCAGTGACAAGGAAGGTGATTTTTTTTTTTCCTTTTTCTTTTTTTGTTTTTTTTAAACAAAAATCAAGGTGTCTCTTTCCACCACCCGCTTTTTCCTGTTCTGGTATATTATCCCTTCCCCATTGCTTAGCCTGGCTGTCATTTTTGCTTTATAGCTTATTTTATAGTGAAACGTTTCACCAGCTCACAGGAGGAGACTGTTTAATACAGGAGATTGCATGTATGTTGCTTCCAGTTTGTTCCACAGGCTCTTTTGTCAGCTTTGGAAGAAGATACGCCTATCTCAGTTACCGATACCGCTTCGGTGCTCTGCTCCGGCACACTTCAGATACCCTGGCGGCAGGGCAGAGCTGATCCTGCTCGCCAGGAGATAAGGACTGCTCATTACTTACAAAAACAAAAACCAAGAAAAGAATCAGAGGAAGAAGGAGTCGGCAGCGGCATCCCAGAGGGGCTCACAGACACACAGGAGCACAAGGCTCAATCCAGCCACCAGACCAGGAAACATGAAATTATGACTCTCCCCTTAATTGGTGTACTGGTGGACTTGGCAGTGTTAGGTTGATGGTTGGACTGGATGATCTTAAAGGTCTTTTCCAACCTAAACGATTCGATGATTCCATGATTCTAAGGTGCAGCTCCCCACAGACAGCTGGCAGAGTTTCTCAGCAGGAGCCGTCGAGGCGGAGCGCGGCTTCTCTGCAGCAGTGCCACCCTCCGGGCTCAGGGGGCAAATTCGCTTTTCCTGGCAGAGAAGCGTCTCCGAGCCCAGAGCCCCTCCACATTTGGCACTTTTCCATCCCACTGCCAAGGAGAGAGCTGGGGGAGGAAACCTGGCTGTGAAACTTCCCATCGGTTAAATCAGAATCTGTGCGACACAATCCTTGAGGTCAGCAGCTAGACGAGCTGCTGTCTAGCTGCCAACACTTTTAATTTGGGGCCACCAATGTGTCCAGCTCATCCAGCCAAAGACCACGGATGCCAGCTAGTCACCACCTCAGTCCTCTGATGCCACTGGCTAACCAAGGCAAAGCAGGAGACAAATAATTTGTACTCTCTTAGATAAACTTTCTTTCTGGGTCTAAGGGCGCATCCCGGCCAGTGCTCTGGAAGACGTTGTCCCAGGTCCCCAAAAAAGCACGTGTGGAGAAGATCAGGATACAAGAACTCCTCCGGTGACCAATTAAAAAATGAGTGACTTCCCACAAGGCGACTATGTTTAGCTCTAAGGGAAATTCCCTTCCTGAATTCTCTCTGTACTGGTCCACACGGATGACTAAGTGGTCATAATATGCAACATCAAGTGCTGCAGGCAGGCAAACCCCAAGTTCACCTGTCAGAAAAGATCTTTAAAAATGCTGCTGAGATTTTTAATCTCATTTAGCTGAAGACAGCTCAGCGCCGGGAAGCCTGCTCACAGTGCAACCCAAAGCAGAAAGTGTAGACATCCACACGTACGTCATCCAAAATACGAGAATAGATGGTAGCCGTAATTAGAAAGGGTCAAACGCCGTTTTCCTATTTTGCGGGCTTTTAATGGTATTTTTCACAATAATTTACAAATTTGCTGTTACACGCATTATATATCCATTTAGTAATGAAAAAAACGTAAGTTAACTCAGCTCTCAGTTGAGAAACTGTTGTAAAAATGCCCTCGCTAAGGTCTGGTATCTACTCCCGCAGTTTTGTATTAATAGAGGCAGCCAAGCGAGTTTCTCATGCTGAACCTGCCCAACCTGCCAGCCCTCCCTAGAGCTTGCTCTCTGCTCTCACCAAGGTGAGGACCTGGAAGCTTCAGAGTGCCGAGGGGGGTGGACTTACAGCGCGGCAGCCGCAGGGCTCCGGCGTGACTAAGGCAGGAAGCGGACAGGGCACGCTCCAACCCTTC